ATAGGTATCACTGATTGTTATAACAGGAACATTCTCTTTAAAAGAAAGTTTAAGTCAATTATATTTATGCTGATACAGTAATTATTTTTTTTTTGTCCCTTCCAAAATGGTGCAATTCCCCGTTGTAGGCGGTTTTATTAATGAATAAACTGACAGTACTCCGTATAACTGTTAATATGTTGGTATGGATGGATAGTCATTAGGGCCTGCCACTTGCCTAATGATTCCAAAAAACTTCTAAAATAATAATTGGTAATTAGTAATTACTTAGATATTATAAAAATGTAATTTTCTAGGTATTTAATAATTAATATTTTTTTCTTTAGATAAGTGATGGATAAAAAATTACTTCTAAACAGTCTTGGTTGAATTTAGATGTTAAAACATATTCAAATCCACATTCAGTGTGCAAATACTCTACCAAGTCTATTGTTGATTTAATGGTGATTCTTAAGCCCTCTACGGTTTGTTTGGTGAGAAACAAATCATCTGTGATAAGTTTATTTCTTAAATTTTGTTCCCAATCATTGAGCCACACTAACGCTTCTTTTAGTACCTTAAATTAACAAAATATAATATAATATAATGCTAGTTTCAAGTAATATTGTTTTAATTTTAATAATAAAGTGTATACCAACATTTAATATCACAAAGACACGATTTTACACACATGCAACTACATACACTTAACACACACCACACAACATATAATAAACCTTTAAATCATGACTATCTTTTCGAATTCCTTCTGCAGGAAATTTTCTATTCAATGCATCAAAAAGGTTATTAAATATATCAGGAAATTTAATAGTTTCTTCACAATCCGTAAATCCTTCAAAGTTTTTACTCTTGTGAAATTGTATTCCATTTACCATAGATTTACTAAACATCTATATTTTAAATTAATTAATTAATAGTTAATTGGTTAATATTTTTAAAATCATTTATTATGTATATATTGTGATATATTTCTTAACTTGCCTGAGATGCATATTTAACCTTCACCTTAGTTAAATTGTTTAGATCAAAGTGATTTGATGTTAACCTTGGGCAAACTTTTAAAAGACTTTTAGAATCGTACTCAAAAACTTTTTTATAAAATTCCCATTTTATTGGAGCTTTATCTGGATAGATCTAACCAAATATAGGTGATAAAATTGTTATTATAACTGAGATATAGTCTTAGTAAAGCTAAAGATATGATTTGATAAAACAAATTTAATTAGATAGTAAACTAATATTTAGTATCGAACATTATTACCTTTGACTGGTCCTCGAGAAATAAACACTGCTATACGTTGATGAATACTATCCGCTAAAGTTTGTAACATTAGAACCAATGGATGGTTATCTTTTTCTGAAGCTCGTGTTTCTATATCCAAACCTTCACCAAAATATTTCAATCCATGGTATGTCAATGATCTAGTACAGAGGTTCCCAAACTGTGGGTCGCGATTATACTTTTGGTGGGTCGAGCTATTTTTTTAAATAATACAAAAATATAATCATCTATTACTTTTCGTTGATGTTCAAAGTTCAAATTCAGTTTTATCATCAATCCTTATCTGTGAGTGTGACAATAACGAGTTTGGAGGACGAGGTGACCGAGCGGTCATTCATTGATATTGTGGGTCGCCATATTGTAAAAAATTTTCAAAATGGGTCGTACAATAAAAAGTTTGGGAACCTCTGATCTAGTATTTACACTTATACTCTCTCTAAGAAATATTTCATCCAATACAAGAATTCCCATTTTTTGTTTTTCTGATTTGGTTTCAAATTTCTTTTTTAGAAGATTAAAAAAATCTTCATCAAACCGCACCCTATTTTAATTGCTAATAAATGCTTACGTATTGTTGTAGTACATGGCAAAGGTAAAATATTTTGTTGTCTAAGATATTTATAACCACCAGGAGATCTATTATAAAATTGTTAATTAATAGGTAAGCATAATATTTTATAATTTTAATGAAATAGTTGATATTTACTACATTATTTGAAATAATAAGCATAACAACATCCAATTCTATGTACTTTCTATTTTTGGAATTTTTCATTTTAGCTGCAGAAAATATTTCTTTGATCATTTCAATTTGTCCTTGACGAATTCCTGCTTTTTCCAAAATTTATCAAGATTTTCTTCATTTATATTTTTTATTTTATCTTTTATTTCATTCAGCTTACTCTCCAATATGTTAAATTTGTTTGTAGCACGAGAAAATCTTTTTTTCACCTTACTTACAGTTTTATGAATTCTCTGCAGTGATTTTGTTTTTATTGGGAAAAAAAAATACTCTGATAGTTTTCTCATTTAAAAGCCTAGTTTGTTTTTTTTTTTATTGAGTATAAAAGTCTTTGGCCCCACACGCATATATCATTGGAACTATATATATATATAAACAATTGTACGTTATAATAGAATAAATAATAAATTAAAATTAAAATTGTATGAAAATTTACTTGTCATCATTTTTTAATAAATTTAAACATTTAGCGTGTCTCCATTGAACATTACAATCTATTAAATTGCAAAAAAATGATGATTTATTGGCATTATATTTAAGGGACAATATTGCTCCTTTGCAGTATTTGGCATTGTCCAACATTTTCAAAAATTGTGCAATATCTTCAAAGTTTTTTATATGGTTAACTTCTATCCCAATTTCTATTGGGATTACCTCTTTGTTATTCAAATGTAAAATAATTTTTGATTCTTTAATTAACATAAAAATTAAATTATTTAATTTTATATAAAATTTTTAATTAAATACTTCTAAAAAATTACCATTAGTTATGATAAGTTGTTTTTCCATGAATCTGGTAAAATTGTTTTGAAAAGAGCTTAATTTATGGAAAACAATTATGTATACATTTTGTATTAACTCTACATTTGCTTGCCATGTATTTGGAATATTAATTAAATTCATATTATTAAAAACATTTTGATACAATGTTAAACTTAAAGGATTTTCCAATGCAAATACGATCCCATTTTTTAAAAAATTTTCCTAGTGCTTCTTTCCATTTTTTTTCTTGGTTATTTTTTGGAATGCCAAATGTGTTTTTTGAAATTATATGTGGTTCTCGTACACAACAATGAGACATTTAAAAATATTTTTGATTATGTTTATATCAACTCAAAATCTCCGATAATATAATAATGGATTAGCTTTCAGCATAATACACAAATAACATTGATAATTATAATTTAATTATAATAATATGTTATAAACATAACTTATAACTTATAGTGAACACGGGTTATATAATGAACAATGTGCATCAAAATAGAGGAAAATGTAATTAAATAAAGTATACATAATACCTAGTCATGGAGAACGATAGTAAGTTTTATGATAATATTCACACTACTTAGGGAAAACAATAAATTATTGAATTTTTGACATTACTGCTATTATCCACGGGGAGCGCTAACGGTTATTAGAAAAACGGAAGCCTAGACAATTATAAGATATAAATCGATGCCACCGCAGCGCTTCGGCGGGAGCGACGCATTAGTCTATCCTTGATAAGTGATATGAACACATAACTTAAAACAATATTATTTGAAATTCAACGGGAAGGCGCGTACATGCGAAAACCTGCCACCAGCTGCGTCGCACTTAGTCGGCCGAGCTGGTGAGCAGATGGTTGATTTGGTGGCGAGAACAATGGGCGTAGTCTGACCGCCGCCCGACGAAAACTGGTCGCCGCCGTCTAGGTTTCTTATTTTGAACAGAGTATATACTCGCCGCTTTGGATATATGGTTTTGATAGGCCGTCCGGCAACCATAGTATCTGGCCGTGCTGCTGCCGCTTCATCGATGTGGCGTCTTAAACGTATCCGTATTTTTAATTTCAAACGGACGTGTTCCAATGATTAAGATTGGTACTAACAATCGATCGATTAATAAGAATAGAGACATAATAATATGTATAAATGTGTAATAACAGTAGTTAGACAAAACTGGTTGAAAATGTTATGGTGTTTAGAAAATGCTAATATAAACAGCCAAAATGTCATGTATCTGCGGTCATTTGTTTTAGAGTTACGCCAACAACCAAAATCGCATTGCCAAAAATCGATTTTGTGTAAAAATTCCCGTTTTTCCTTTATTTTTCTTTTATTTTACACGGCGATTTTGAAAATGTTTGCTTATTACCCCCCAAAGTACCAACTATATTCACTTTCCTATCAGAAAAGATACTGTTGAAGAAAATCAAAGAGAATATACTAAAAGGTGACGACAGACACAAAAAAAAATATAAACAAAAACACACATCATTGTAAAAATGTAAAATCAAAACATGCATCGATCTGCTCAGAATCTAAAAAACGTATTTAAAAACCATTGAAATGTTTCAAAATAAAAATAATTTGATAAAATAATTCAATAAGGAAAATATAGTATATATAATAGTATTTGAATACTTTTACTCAAATACTTTACAACACTGATAGTAGTATAGGTACATACAGTCATCAGACATAATATAAAAATGCATAGGTACCAAGGTACCCACACATAACACAAAATCCCAAACACAACGACAATTATATGTATATATATTATATTAATACACTCCTATATACAGTGGATAAAAAAAGTCTCCGTACACTGTTAAAAGAATTTTTCATTAATATATAATGGTAATTTAAAATTTGAATAACTTTATATTTTTAGGGAACATTAATTGAGAAACACATTAACATTCGGTTTTTAGAAAAATAAAGTATAAATATTTATTATTTTATTATTAACATATATAAATATCAACAATTTTAAGAAAACAACAGCAAAAAAGTCTCCGTACATAATATGAATAACAGATAAAAATAGTATTAAGATGGGAAAAATTCATATTAATTGAAAGTTTTGTCGCAAAACAGACAATATAAACTGGCGATAAAACCCGGTCAGCATTGCGAGCGTGATAATAGGTTTCTGTAGCCATCAGTCGTACTCGAACTGTTCGTTCTATTCAATTAACATTGAACAATGGAAATACCAATTGATATTCGTAAATTAGTAGTTCAACTAAGAGAAGATGGTAATTCTCTTAGAAATATTGCACAAATAATAAAGAAATCACATTCAACTGTACAATATATTATAAACCGGTACAACGAAACTGGTTCATTTGAAGATCGAAAACGTACTGGTCGTCCCCAAAAATTAAAATCGCATCAAAAGAGAGCCATTCTAAGACAAGTTGTGATGGAATCCAAAACCAGTGCACAAAAACTGGCTGGTATGATTGATACTGACTATAATATAAAAATTGTGCCACAGACCATTCGTAATGTTATTAGAAATGTGGGATATAAAGGTTGCGTAGCTAGAAAAAAGACCTTTTATCAGTAAAATAAATAAAAAGAAACGTTTAGATTTTGCGAAGTCACAATAATGAGGGAAATAATTTTTGGAAATCTGTATTATTTAGTGATGAAAGCAAATTAAAATTTTTGGTTTAGTTGGGCGAGTTATGGTATGGAGAAAACCTAATAAGCAGATGGATTGCAAAAATTTGTGCCAGACAGTAAAACATGTTGGTGGTAATGTATTAGTTTGGGGCTGTATGAGTGCTACTGGTGTTGGTAATTTAGTATTTATTGATAATATTATGGATCAACATATATATTTAAACATTTTAAGAAATAATCTGCATGCAAGTGCTGAAAAACTAAATATTGGCAATTCGTTTATTTTTCAACAAGATAACGACCCAAAACATACCGCGAAAAAAGTTTAAGAATGGTTGTTATACTGAGTGCCAAAGCAACTTAACACACCTCCGCAATCACCAGACATAAATCCAATAGAACATTTATGGGATGAAATAGGAAGACGCTTAAAAGATTATCAAATTCGAAACAAAGACCAATTGAAAATGGGAACAAATGCAGTTTAGTTCCCACGCGTTTTTTTCGATTTTTTCCCCCCAAAATGTGTGTTTTAAAGCACTGAATACATAAGTTTAATTCCAAAATTCTCGCAAATCTTTATTTTGGAAGTTTTCCCAAAAAAACTATAAAATAGTAATTTCTTAAAAAAAACGTGATATCTACAATAAACACATCTAAAAACTACATTTTGATTTTAGATTCTGAGTGAAACGATGTATTGATTTTACAATGTGTGTTTTTTTATTTTTATTTTCTTTGTGTCTGTGTACACGATAAGTAGTCGAAATAATGCTTCGATTTTCGACTTCAGTATCTTTTTCGATTGGAAAGTGAATATCGTTGGTTCATTGAGGAGGTCAAAATTTAAAATTCCCAATACTTTTCAAAAGCGCCAAGAAAAACAAAAGAAAAATTAAGGAAAAACGGGAATTTTTACGCAAAATCGATTTTTCATAAAATTGAATTTGGTTTTTGGTGTAACATTAAAACAAATGACCGTAGATTCATGCAATTTTCACTGGTTGTTTATATTTGCATTTTCTATACACGATAACATTTTCAAAATATTTTGATTTATTTTGATCTGTTTAGGGACATTTTCATTTTTTTTTTGTTTATTTTCTAGAAATATCAATAAAATTTTATTTGTTGGTTAAAAAAACTTGAAAATTTAATAGAAGGCTCCTAGTATATTGTTTCAAAGGCAGATGAAAAATATTAAAAATCGTTTGTCACAGTTTTTTTTTAGAAGCATTTAAAGTTCAAAAATTGACAAAATATGGAAAAATCACGAAAATTGGAAAATTATTTTGAGTTAAGAATTCGTAAAAATGAGAGCAGAGCTACATCCACTTACTCACCTTTTTTTTTTAATTGTATGTTTTTATGATGGATGGAAATATTCATATGCCGGGTTGCATGAACGCCCGTTTAACGTCCGTTTAACGAGCCGTTAGCGCGCTAACGAATGATTAAAATTTTATTCATCTGTTAAACAATCTTTAAACGTTCAATAGTTTTATTGGGCCGTTAAAATATAGGTTACCAGCTCATTAAACTAATGGGCCGATTTCGGCTCTTTAAATTTTAATCATTCGATAATCCTACAGTTATCAGTTATCACGCATACGTATTCAGGTGTCAGTAGTAGGTACGTCGTCACTATACCTACCCTGTAGTTGGTCGTACTTACTAAATTTTTTTCCATATACTTATAAGCTATAACCGAAAATAGTAAAAATGTCGAGTTCTGATTCAAGTTTATCGATTTCCGATGATGAATTGGTTTTGGGTATTTTGTGTCATTTACCTAGACCGAGGTTATTTAGAGATCGATCAAATCCTTTGGAGGAATTTGATGAACAGAACCGAAAACGCCGAAGAAAGATTAAGTACAGACTAGTAGACTACAAATTCACAATTTGTAGAATTTAGCAATTATTGTTATTATACATATTCAAAATTAAAAGTTCAAACAGCTGTTGATACAGTATCTAGATCATAGGATTTTATCACTTTTTCTGTGATAAACTTAAATTTCTACACTAACCTCGGTATCATGTTTAATACCAATATATTTTTATTGTACGATTTGTGCAACCCAAACGCTTCTGTAAAAATATTTAACGGCTCGTTAAAACTGTTCATTAAATAAATTTAAAGTTCGGTTTCATGCAACCTGGCAATAATGATTTTAATTATCGTACTTGCTGTTAAAAATTCAAAAAATAGAAAACAAAAATTTTTTAAAATTTTTTTTATTTTGTCAATATATTAGGTACATTATAAATCTTCGTCACTTCCATCCGTTTCAGAAGACGCTTCATCATCACTTACCAATAAATTATTTTCTTGTATCGCTTTTGGGTCATACAGCTCACCAGCAAGTTAAAAAATTCCGTCAGAGGTTCGATATTTAGTATACAACACCTTTTCAGAAACATAAACTTAGCTAAATATCCACCATAAAACCGTTTTTTGCAACAATATTAAGAAAGCAAAGCCTTGGCGTGACGCCACATTCCCTCAACATTATTTGTGTGAGCTCCTGTTTCCGGATTTTTGAATTGAATAGAATGATTCACCGTTAAGTGAACAAATCCTTCATCTTCCAAACATTGATAACTCTAATAAAACAAATTAACACAATATTACAATTTGCAACTCGGTATCACAATATCCCTCGGCGATACTTGTCGGTTATCGCGTCTACCGTAAAAATGATGAAAAAACTGTTATAAAAACTAGCAATAATTAATAATTCACTTTAGGAGGGAAATGCTCAGACATGCAATTTAAAATATAAATTCATTGATAAAGTGTATCAGTTATGCTATGCTAGCGGGACTCGTCGATACGCTCCTCGGCGCCATCGCTCCTCTCCGCTAATCGAAAATATCCCCCGATTTGCTGTGCAAAACCACCTCATATAGGAAAGCAAAGTGTACAGCGTTTCGCGCGCATGCAAACGTAAATGCGTAAAATCGTAAACTTTGATAACTTCCAAAATAATGATTTGCCAGAATTTTGGAATTAGACTTTTGTATTCAGTGCTTTACAACACATATTTGTGGGGGGGGGGGAATCAAAAAAATCGCGTGGGAACTAAACTGCATTTATACCGAAAAATGCAATACTTGAAGAATGGAACAGTATTGACTCTGCTGTTACAACAAAATTAGTTGAGTCAATGGGAAAGAAAATGCACGAAGTAATTAAATATTAGTCTATTAATTGGTTAAAGCACACATCATTTAAAAAGTCTTTTACATCCTTAGATTTTAGCAACGTAGCTAAAAATATTTTAGAAAGTTTAGAAGAGTTCTCTAGGAAAGGTAAACTATAATATATAGCTGATATCAATTGAATAGTAGCATGTGATCCAATAATGGATTATTGATCTCAACATCATCGATATATAAAAAGAAAGGTATAACCATGACAAATAAGATAGGTATGTCAGCAATCGTCGTGATACGCATATTTTAATCAAAATGGCGTCCGGCTTTCGCCTATTATCAGAGTTTAAAGCACGAATTAAGATATACTGGATACGGAACGGAATGTGATAAACTGAATACACTAATTGCTAAGATGTGTCAAACCACCTAGCGCTACTTTAGCAGTAGTGTATAATGTATGTACCACGATTAAAGATATACAGGTTGCACATCGACTACTGATAAGGTGAAATACGAAATTACTACCAATAATTAACCAGTGGCGCTCCAAGCGGCAGTATTACAATTAACCAATTATAGATATATAGGTGTAAAATTAGTTCTAAATGTCGACACATATGGTTGAATGTTGACATTAAGCGCCACTAGTTAATTATTAACAGCTGATTTTTATAGTCACTTTGTAAATCAGTCTGGAAGCGGTTTACTATAGGGCGATGTGCAACCTGTATATCTTTAATCGTGGTATGTACTTATTATCAATACTACCGTTTATCATAGAAAATCATTTATGTTACCAATGTCGATGTGCCACTGTGCCAGGTCCCTACTTAAATATTTAAATTTTTAATATGTATTTTATTTATTAATCATAACTTTTAATTGTATACAATTATTTCCAAATAAATTGTTCTTAATACTATTTGGAAACTAACTTTGACAGTTTCTTTTTTATTTTGTTTTGACTTTTTAGTTTTTTATTAGTCATATAGGAATGTTGACGCATTCTCATTGTGATATATGATATTAGTATATCCAATACGACTTTTTCTTTATGGACATTACAAGGAAATGGTACTATATAATTGTTTGATATGAAGTCCTCTACAGTATCATCAAACACATAGGCACTATTTGCATGTTTCATGAATGAACTCTCAATGCTCCTAAGTAGTACATAAAAATGACTGTATGGGTGAGTTAAATAGCCTCGAGATTTTAGGTTCACTAATTCAGCATGATTTGTGGTAACTTCTTCGAAGCTCTTAATCCCAGCTAAGCAGTCAGGGCAATCCGTCTGGCCAAATATCTAATCAAATAGATAAATATAAATTATAAATTGTATATTAAACTTTGGCTGTACATAATACAATATACTGTAGTCTAAAAGTAGTATTACCGATTAACAATAAATAATATATATTACCCTGCTAAGTAATAAACAACACAGTCAAATGTGTCAGCTTTACTTATGTCAGAATTTTTAAATATATCATCTAGGTCCCATCTACCTTCTTCAACAATTAAGTCTATTTGAGATTTAAGTTGATTTATTTTTTCAACTCGTTGTGATGGATTTTTCATAGCTGCTTCTTTCAAATCAGTTATTGTTAATGCAGGACCATAATTGGAATCTAAAGTAGGTACTAGGTATGTTAATTATATTTATTCAAGTAGATAGTTAGTTAAATTTTAAACGTACCTTCTGATAATGTACAATTTCCTTATTTAGGTGGTTTGACTAACGAGTATACAGATAATAGTCAGTATAGCTGTA